AAAGGTAGATGTTTATGCAATGTTAAGCATTCATGTTAGGATTTATATATAGAGGAAGATTAATATTTATTCGCTTTACTTTTTAAAAATTAAGAGAAAAATTATCTCAAAACTATATAATTTTAATAAAGTATTGTAGGAAAAAATAAAAAACACTTTAATTCATACTTTAAAATATGATATTTTAATATTTTTCAATGGAGATTTATTGAAATGACATAGCTTTCAAATGATTTTTTTCTTAATCTTTAAGAGGTAAGATGGATAAGTATTATTCTCATATATATATATATAATTGTGTGGGTTTTCGTTAATTAGTGACTTTAATTTAATTAAATACAAGTAAGTTGTGTTAAATTAAAATATGGCTTAAGTATTGAAAAAGGACCCTAAGTTTTACTAAATTCTCAATTGAGGTCCTCAACATTTATTGCACTCAATTAAGGTTTTGAACTCACACAAACTCTGAAATTAGGACCCAATTGGATGGAATCTTAACATCTGTCAATTCTCACTTAGCTGTCCGTTGCAGTCTATTACTCCCTCAATACGTGGCATGCCAACTAGACCCATAAGGCTGATTGTAAAAATTTACATTCCTACGTGGCATGTGTGATCCCATGGCTGCTTTTTCTCCCATCTCTCTTCTTCTTTCCTATTTCACGACTTGGGGGTGAGATCCCTAGAATTTTCAATCTGCCTCTCTCCATGCGAGATCTTCTTCTCCACCCAATAGCAGCCTACCCAATCCTTGGAACTTCTCCGCCCAACAGCCTGCCTTTCTCCCTGCAAGATCTTCAAAGGCTCTATGCAGACATACTTCCATTGCAACTGAATTCCCTCAAAATTATGGACGACTTCTTTTTTGTTTTTGGGTTTTGCTAACCTTGAGCCACTCTGTTTTAGGGCTGTTCTTGGTGGCGAGATGGAGTTCGATGGTGTCATAGAATCGTTACACAATGGAGGATGACGAATATCCACAGACTTTGGCTTCCTTGTAAACAAGACCTTCTTTGCAGAGGTACCTTGTGCTCGGATTGCAATGTTTGTCCTCCGAGCAAATGCACTGTCCTTCTAGTGCACACCCGTTGCCTTTATCAATAGCTTTGCTTCCCAATAGTATCTGATCCAACCATTTGCTAGAGAATATGCCTTGCGGGTCTAATTGTTTCTTCTCCGCAATGAATTTGTTGAAGTTTGGGTAATTACTCTGCACTCCCAAGAACCCAAGATTCCTATTCTTCGCCCAATGTGGCCGCACACCATACTTGAAGAATGCCATTTGCTCGATTTCTTCCCAGATGTCTTCATTTAGCCTCGAGGTGGAAGCATTGTCGACGCGGTAATAGTTGAAATCGATCACCATAGAATCCTCCGGTTGGCTCGGTATGTCAGCAAAGCCTTGATGTAACGGATCATAATGCTGTTGTAGATATCGGCTCCGCAGAAGTTCTTTGGGTTTAAGCCTCGCAATTTCTTCATGTTGCGGATGAAGTCTATGAATTTACGAATTATATTATATTAAAAAGGTGTTGAATAGTCAAAAATAAAAAAAGAGTCTGGGAAAAGGAGTCTTGTGGGACCACCTGTTATGCGGAGGGGAAGATCCCGCCCGATATGCCATGTTGGAAAATATTTTTTATAGTCAGCTTTATGGTTCCAATTGGCATGCCACGTACTGAGGGGGTAACAGATTGCAATGGACAGTCAAGTGAGAATTGACGGATGTTAAGATTCCATCCAATTGGGTCCTAATTTGAGAGTTTGTGTGAGTTTAAGACCTTAATTGAGTGCAATAAATGTTGAGGACCTCAATTACGAATTTAATAAAAGTTAGGGTCCTTTTTCAATACTTAAGCCTTAAAATATTAAGATATATGTATGTTAAACTCAATTTATTGTTATTATTTGTTTGGGCTAAAAGTATTTT